GGATGGAAGGAAGGAAGGAAAGAAAGAGGGAGAGAAGGGAGGGAAGGAAGGAAAGAGGGAGAGAAGGGAGGGAAGGAAGGAAAGGAATGAAGGAAAAGAATGAAGGAAGGGGAGAGATAGTGGAAAGAAAAAAGGAAGGAAGGAAGGAGGAAAGGAGGGAAAGAGAGAAGGAGGGAAGGAAAGAAGGAAGGAAGGAAAGAGGGAGGAAAGGAAGGAAAGGAATGAAGGAAGGGGAGAGATAGAGGAAAGAAAAAAAGAAGGAAGGGAAGAAGGAAGGAGGGAAGGGAGGGAGAGAAAGAAGGAAAAGAATGAAGGAAAGTAATGAAGGGGAGAGATAGAGAAAAAAAAGGGAGGGAGGAAGAAGGAAGGATAAAAGGATGGAAAGGAGGGAGGGAGGGAGGGAGGGAAGAGGGAGGGTACATGAAACCCTCCAGACTCAAGAGGGTTAATATCCATTCCTGAGTTTGAGGAACTCCGTGCCCTGGAAAAATATAAACTGAGCTTATAAAAACAGAGAGAAGCAATGATTGCCCTGCCTTCTTGGTTCCTATCTCTGCCAGTAATTTGATCACCCCCTGGGCACTTGAGCCAAGATGAAAAACAAATTGGAAAGTGAAGGTTACAGCAATGCACTGCCAACCAGCTGTGGGATGCCTAGGGGACATCCGCCCTAGCGAGCCCTAAACAGGCTCCCCCAACACCCTTAATCTGGCAATGAGCAGCCCAGGTGGAATAGATGCCAAAGCCCATGTAGCTGGCATTGTTGCCCAAGGGCATGCTGCACCACGCCTCTCCCCCGCCCCAGGCTGGACTCACCATTACTTGGACTATGCTAAGAATAATCAGGGCTCCCTCACTGTGCCCCACCACCTTCTCCACTATGCAATGCAACCTTCCTTCCTTCTGAGTGTTGCGGCAATCTCTCCCCCCACCCCACCCCATCATTTATCTTGCTGTGAGCAGGACCTCTCTCTATCAGCCCCCAGAGTCTCTCTGGCTGGCCCCATGGCCCCATCACAGGCAAGAGGATGAAGTTCTTTACTATCAGACTTGTTTTTGTAGGAACAAAATCTGGGAGCCAAAGAATGCATCTCTTTCTCCTCTTTTATCTGGTTATTACAAACACTGAACTCTGTACAAAACAGGGAAAAGGCTTTTAAAACACAGGCAGAAAGGCCCCAGTGCTCATCCGTAAACAAAAACAGCCTCCAATTAGGGAAGGGTTGTGATTAGGGGGCTGAAGACAGAAACAAGCAGATGGAAGAGAAAGAGGAATGGATCCAGGGTCAGAAGACCTGGGTTCAAATCTCTGATCGTTGCTGGCTACTGTGTGACCCTGGGCAAGTTTCCTAACTAGTGACTTTCAGCCTCAGTTTCTTCATATGGAAAATAAAGGGGTTGGACTGGATGGCCCCTGATGTCTGTTCCAGCTCCAGACCTAGGCCCTTGTGATGTCAGCTTGAGTTAGCCGGCCAGCTGCTTGCCACCAAGGTTCTAGGATGTCCCTGGTAGTAATGGTCTCTTTGATAATGCAGATCAGGGCCCCTCTGCAGTCTCATCCTGGGTGATGCTGGTCCTTAGCTTTCTGGCAATCCTTCACAGACAGCCTCCATCCAAAGGGTCTTTCATCACTTTAAATCTCGGGAGGGTCAATGTTCCACTTAGGCTGGTCACCTATAGGCAGCCATCCTCACAACATGGCCAGACCAACCTCTTTTCCATTCATTGTGGAAATAATGATGTTCAAAGGAAGGGAAGTCACTTACCTAAGGCCATACTGATCATAGATTTAGAGAAGGAAGGAAGGAAGGAAGGAAAGAAGGAAGGAAGGAAGGAAAGAAGGAAGGAAGGAAGGAAGGAAGGAAGGAAGGAAGGAAGGAAGGAAGGAA